GCATGCACCGGAACAAAGTCTGCCAACTCAGATAAATCTCGTTACGTATGACATGAGCAATGAGAAGACCAGATTAGGCTTTTCTGGTGTTGCGAGGACGGATAGCGCCACAACCCTCAGTATTGAAACGGTCACCGTGACGTCGGAGCGTGGTAGACGCGTTCAGATCCAAGCTGAAGGCTACGGCGGTAGCCTTTCAATGCCACACTATGGGCATACTCGCCCTTCCGTCGACTATTTCAACAGCAACGTCATTATACAAAATTTTGTAGTGGCGGACATTACAAAGAGAAATAATGTTTTCGTTTATGAAGAACGTGCTCAAAGGAAGGACGCTCATGCATTATGCAGTTTACGACTTCTGTATCATCTATCCACTTTGAAACACAATATTCACGATGGAATTCCGCCTCCTGTTATCAGCTTCAGTATATTGAACAACTGGGTGAGGCAGAACAAATCTAAAGATGTCCTAATGTTTTTTTTTTTTTGTTGCGTTTTTGTCAATCATCTTTCCCTATAAAAACTTGTCCTTTGCTTTTTACTACCTGGACATCCGCACAACATTGCCAATCTAGGTGTTTCATGGTGCCGAACAGCAACCCTAGGCCTGAATATTTACACCCCAATGGATCTTGTGGATAAAGTAAATAAGGTGAAGAGTGTTAATGGTGGTGGTGGTGGGGTATCGATTACCATGATCCCTCACGGCAGTTCTTTCTGGGGTGGAATGAACTATTATCAAAATGTTTTTATCCCACCTCCATCGCATTACACAGCAAACTACCTATTTGAAATCAACGAGAGGTTTTGTACGGCAAGAAAAACGGTAGACACAGCTGACAGCGACACGAGTACATTTCCGTTGGTCAATGGTGACAACATAGAGGTATTAAGGATGTCCTTGATTTCCAATTTGTTTGGCGATACTGTAACTACATTTTTCGAGGCATCAACAGCATCCGTGAAGCTACCACGCCACCCTTTGAAGGACCTCGATGAAAAAATATTAAATCTGTGGCTGGAAAGTATTTTTTTCAATACCAAAAGAATTTCCATCCAATTATCCAGCCGTTCCACAGGCAATTCTCGAGGCACCAGACAGCATCTCCAAATCGAACGATCCTACCACGACCGGAAAACGTAAAACAGGACGCCCACCAAAAACGAAAAAGAAGCAATAATCCAAGCAGCCATCGATTCTTCAGTTCTTCAGCTCTCCAACTATACCAAGCAGCCATCGATTCTTCAGTTCTTCAGCTCTCCAACTAAACCAAGCAGCAGCTAGCTGCTTTTTTTTTTTTTAGTAGAAACAAGCAGTACTGAGGCGGTTGTTTTAAATACTCCAAAACAAAATGATTTTACAAAATGTTATACTAAAGTACAGATTTCGGTTTGTTGTGGGAAAATTGGGGACGCTTCATATGTGGAGCGGATCACATGACAATCGAGTTACGGCTACTGTACACTGGGTCATTCAGCGCAACACATGAAAGGTTACGGAGGATGAACACTAGGCTGTACAGTGGAAAATAAATGGGGATGTCTGTCGAACTCAAGCTGGCGTGTCTTTCGTTATGGCAAACCTCCTTTTCGTGGAATGCGACAAGCCGTGGAAACCATCTCACTTCTATTATCGACGAAGTCAAGGAATCCGTGACACGAATGGATTCGTGCGGAAAGCCACTGCGGCATATTTGGATTAGCCTTCGGTGAGAATCCGACGTTCCGACATCTCCATAAAGTTTGACCTCTATCCAACAAATTGCGAAAGAAAACGAATCTTTTTTTTTTTTAGCAACACGTAAAAGTATAGAAAGTGTTTGCGAAGGAATACCCTAACTTCGATGGAATCGCAAAAACGTTCATTTTGGACTTCCAAATGATGACGACGGTTTTTAAGGTTCGACTGAACCAGATGCGAATCCATTTGCTCTCGGCATAACGACACTGGGTAGTTCGCCAATATTAGTCAATTCACGGACGAGGAGTATTTTCTGGTATTCCATAAGATTGCTTTCTTTAAGCTTTGTGGCACAACATGTGGATTCACGGACAGGCCTAGGACCTATGTAACGGGGTACGAACCCCAGCGTACCCAAGTTACACGTGACCAGTCACTCTTGTAATACCTGGTACATGGTACCAGGGGCTCTAGGAGCCAATCATTACATATCTACATAGCTTCATTATAGGTGACTTATAGTTTGTA